AAATGGAAACAGTTGTTGGCATGTAATACTAATTGTTGGATACATTGAAGAGGACCTCTTGAGCACAAAAACTAGTATTACATGCCAACAACTGTTTCCATTTAATAAGAGGTCTCTGGGGTGAAGTCCCCCACGTCATAGGAGCTCAGTGCACCAATCTTGATGAGGAGGTGGAGGATGTTTGAAAATTCCTTAAGGTCTTTAAGGGGTTTCGGCCGAGAAAAAGCATCACCATCATGAGTGAAGTTAGAGGGACTAACTCAACCAAAAAGATTATTTAAAGTGAAGAGAGGCTATTTTAGAGAAAGAAAACCCAAAAAAAAAAAAATCTACTAGGCCGCCCAGGTTCTGGGCGCTGGGCGCCTGGAGCCCCCCGGCTGCCTAGCGCTTTTTAAAACACTGCTGGCTACGATGACAACCACGCAAAAGCTCTGATCACAAAGGGGCTCTTCACTTCAGGGATTTTGGTATACATGGCTTTGGTTGATGGTTGATTTAATAGCTGTGGATTTCTTTCAAAACAAGAGCATCACCTCTTCCTCCATTATGAAAAAAGCCTCATATATTGCCCTGGTCTAAGGATCTGCAACCATGTCATTACTTACAATTTGGGCTTGAAACTCAATAAACACCCCTGGTTCTAAGTTCTTAGGAACCTTGAGGTTGAGGTGAGGGTCTAACTTGAGTCAATACGGTCAACTACACAAAAGTCTCAATGAACTATTAAAGCTATCAGTGTGATTGATAAGTTTCAAAACTCCATTGTAAATTGGTTCACAAATTGCACTAAAAAAGCTTATAGAAGTTTGAGTTTTACAGTGACCAAATTAAATAGCAATAATGTTCAACTGTTGATACTTGAGAGAGTAGTGCACAAGACTACAAGTTCTAATTCGATGATTTAGTTTTGAATGTTGACAAATGAAAGATTGGAGAGTAGAGAGCTGTCTTGAAACCTTTTGAGAGAGAGGAGAGGAGAGAGACGTTACAGAATTCCTACGTGCCTTTTAAGAGAGAGAGAGCAAAATGTTACTTGAGAGTTCCCGCTGTCTTTTGGGGGAGAGAAGTTAGAGAGAGAGACTGTATGTGATATTTAGATAGGAGGGAAATGCGTGCCATTTCCTATTTTGTTTGGGTCAAGAATGTGGGGTCAAACGGGTTTATTTAGGTCTAAGAGGTTGGAAGATACAAAAGATTAAAACTCTATGCCACCAGAAAAGTTTTAAAACCTTGAATCTCTTGAGAAATGATTTTTCAAAACAGGGTGTATTGAGATATTTTTCCTTATATATATTGGTTGTGATGTTCATCTGTTGCCACCTGAGCATGGAGAGGAATTGGTTTGTGCAACTTGAGCCATAGGCTGAGCAAGTCTACTGCATGCTTCTCGATTGGTCTTCATGACACTAGCACTCCTAGACAAGCCAGGAGTAGTTTCTTCTACATATGATGCATGGGACAAGGTAGCCGCTGACAACCCCTCTGTCGCACTAGAACAGCCACCAGGTGCCCCAACGCTTCCATGCATACCCAAACTGGGGCCCGCGTACATACTTGTGCCCATGCCAAACCCAATATAAAACCCATGCCATTGTCCCAACGGTGCATTTCCTCCAAGTTTTCTCTCAATATAATCTCCATTTGAGGTTGAATTGCTCATCTACTTACATCCTACTGGATGGCGTATATAGACTAGTGATTTCCTCATCCATCCATCGTTTGGCTACCTTCCGACCCTTGTTGGCGTCAAGAAGAGTTGTCATCTACTTCCTCATATTCTGGGGAACATTAGGACATGCAGCAGCCTCATCGTTAATCCCTACCAAGTATCCCACTATTAATCAGTATGTGATAGTAGTTACATTTAATTGTCCTTTTTGTTGGGATCCTTCTTGATCCCATCCTATAATGCAATGTCTTCTTTAGGTTGGGACATGGTGAAAGTTGAAACTACTAAAAATATTAGAGGCAATGACTCAAAAAGCGGACCGCCCAGTGCCCAAACAATCTGAAAAGCCTAGGCGCATTGCCCAAGCCGAGGCGGCCAATCTGGGCAGTTGATCCCTGGGCGGTCGCCCAAGGCCTGCGCCCTGCCAAGAGGGAGAAATTGATTTTGGTAGGGGCAATTTTGATCATTTCTTTTTTTTTAAGGCCAAAATTTAGTGTTTTAGGTTCATTTGAACCCTAAAACTTGTTGGAGCCGATTTTAGAGAGAGAAAGCCCCCAAAAATCTAGTTTTTGGTGAATTTTTTAGGATCGAATAGTTTCTCAAAGTTAACAAAAATTGATCAAGACATCACCCATTGATATTAGATTTATGTTTTGATGTTATGCAAAGTTATTAGGGGTTTTTAAGAAGATTTTGAGTATTTAAAAGCATCTTTGAGGTAGAAGTTTCAAGATTGAACAATCAAACTCAAAGTCAGTGATTTTTTTTATCGCTTTAGTAATTTGCATTATTTTTTAGATGTCTTCGTCAAGATGTAATAAGAGTGGTAATCCTGGTTGGAAATATGGCTATAACCCAAATCCTAATGATAAAAATTGCATAAGATACAAGTTTTGTGAAAAAGATACAAAATGGGACATAAACCAGTTCAAGAAACATCTTGCCGATATCAGGGGGGATGTTGCCGCATGTAAAAAGACTCCTGATGTTGTTAAAGAGGAAATAAACAATTTTTTGAACATGGTGAAAATGAAAAACTATGAGATATTTGCCTCTATAGCAGAGATTAGGTTTGAGGTTCAGGTCAATTTTGATGATGATGATAGAGATGAGGAAAGGGAGAGATGTCAATAGATTGAGCAATCCTTTATTAAGGGAAAGGGGAAGGGAGTGGTAATTGCTTCTGGTTCTAGGACTAAGAAGCCTCGGGTTAGACGCCCTATGGATAGTTTTTTACCTCGGCCTGACCTTGAAGTTACAGGAGAGAACAAAAAAGCAAACTACCATTGAAAATAGAATCAAGAAGGAAGAGAGATACAACTACGTATTATCTTGCTACATGGTTTTATGAGACAGGCATTCCTTTCAATACCGCTTACTTAAACAGCTTCTATGCTGCGATAGAGGCAATTGGCCAATTTAGCCCTGGGATAAAACCACCAACCCCATATGAGCTTTTAGAGCCTTTTTTAAAAAAGGCAGTGAGTGCCACGAAAGAAGCTGTAGAACTTAAGAAGGATGCATGGGCTTAGTATGGGATTTCTATTATGACTGATGCTTGGAGTGATAGGAAGAGAAGAAGTCAGATGAATTTGCTTGTGAATTGTCCTGCAGGGCCTGTCTATTTGAGATCTATTGATGCCTCTGATCATATCCATGACGCCCATTACATATTTCAAGTGATAGAGAAGGGAATCAAGGAGGTTGGGGAGACAGACAATGCTGCTTCGAATGTTGTTGCATCTAATTTGTTGCGCATAGCTTATCCTAAAATCTTTTGAACACCATGTGCAGCACATTGTATAGACCTCATGCTTGAGGCTCTTGGCAGTTAGTTACAAATTTCATTTATAGCCACCATCTCACCCTCAGCATGATACATACGTTTACAAAAAAGAAAGAGATTGTGAGGCCTGGGGTCACGAGATTTGCGACCTGGTACTTATGCCTAGATAGCATACATTCGAGGAGAGTGCAGTTGAGGCAAATGTTTATCTCGGATGAGTGGAGAGCATGCAAGTGGTCTAAGAATCAGGTTGGGAAGAAGGTGAGAGGTATTATACTTTCTAAGGCTTTTTGAAGAGGGGTGAAGGGCGCTCTCAAGGTATTTTTTCCTCTTGTCAAAGTCCTTCGCATGGTTGATAGTGACAAGCTTTCTATAGGCTACATATATGATGTTATGGAGAAATACAAAAGAGAGATAGTCTTAAATTTCAATGATGAAGAAACCCGTTACAAGCCTATTTGGGAGATTATTGATGAGAAGTGGGATAGGCAGCTACATCGACCATCTGGTTATTATTTGAACCCAGCTATTTTTTATATTGACAAGGATAGACAAACAAATGACACAATTATCAATGGATTTAATGAGTTTGTAGAAGTGCTAGTCCTTGATCCTGATATGTAAGATATTATATGTGCTGAAGAGCTGATAAATTACAAGTGCTCATTAAAGTCTTTTGGAAGTCCAATGGCGATGAGGCAAACGGCCAAAATTGATCCAGGTATTAATAATATTCTTAAGTTCATCAAGTTCAAGTAATCAAGTAATTCTATTATTTAATTATGATTTTATTCTACATCTTTGCAGCCTATTGGTGGACCCAACATGGGTTTAGTTCTCCAAATTTACAAAAGTTGGTCATTCGGATCTTAAACCTACCCACTCCTTTATCCGGTTGTGAGCGCAATTGGAGTACTTTTGAAGGGGTCAGGCTGTAACGGTAATTTGTATAATTTTTTAATACTACATGAACCATAGATATTAGATTATAATTAATTTCATTTGATTTTGTTAGATTCATACAAAGAAAAGGAACATGCTTGAATCAAAGAGGCTCAATGACCTAGTCAATGTCAAGTACAATCGATTCTTGAAGGACAAGTTTGCTAAGAGAGATAAGAGAGACCCCATCAGATCAAAAAATATGGACCATGCTATGGAGTGGTTAGTTGATGATGAGGTCGAGGGGCATGAAGGATTGACATGGGACGTGGTCATGGATGCTTCAGGGACATCAGCTGACCCTCCTTGGACCACTAAATCGTCTGCACAGAGAACAAGGATGGAGGAAGAGGAGGAAGAAGAGGTTGATTCAGAAGAGACGAAGGAGGACGAGGACGACCAATATGTCGAGGAGGGTGATGACTCCGTCGACTCTAATGAATAAAATGCCAATGCAGCTGACCCAAGATTTTCTAATGATGACGGAATGATGAATGTTGATTGTTGAATAATTATTAAACTTTGAAGTTTGAACTTTGATTGAAATATTGTGTATTAAACTATTGAATATTCTTTTGAGTATTCAAGTATTACTTTCATAGTTTCATAATTCAATTTTGTTTTCTTCCTCATGGTGGTGTACTGCAGTATTGGTACGATACTATTTGATAACTTGGTTTGATGATTTGGTTAGTTGTAAAGTTCTAATTGGAAATGGAGTATGAACCGACCTATGGATTATGGTTATGTTTATGGAGTGTGTGCAAAATGCTAATATGTAATATAATTTGAATTATGTACTACAATACATATAACTGATACTAACATAACGGCACTGCAGAATCCTTATTTGGATTCAACTGGGCTGCCCAAGTTCTAGGCGCCAGCCTAGGCACTAGGCGGCCTGAGCTGGGAGGCTTGGACCCCCCAGGCCGCCTAGGACCCGCCTAGCGCTTTTTGAAAAACTGATTAGAGGGACAAAAAACAAACTAAAAATTTGTCAGATGTGGTGAAGAATTTGAGAGAAGATAATAATTTTTAGCATTAGGAAGACCTTTCCCTAGTACGAGAGAACCATGAAGGACAACTCTGGTGTACCAGTTATCATGCCCATGGTAAACCCGGGGTAGCCAAGTGCAGAGCGGATAACTACTTGAAAGCATCTAAGTAGTAAACCCACCCCAAAATGACTGATATCTTATTACTACTTCTCTAAAGCTCCTAATATCATGGACGAGACAACAATGGGTTCTCTGTCCCCACACGGATGGAAAGATAAAAGTCTTGAGATCCAAGACAAGGTCATGTGAGACGAGCCATTTATCATAAAAAAAAAATGCCTCTAAAACTGCCAAATCTGAAAAACCCCGCAGTCTTTGTTTATCAATAAAAAAAAAAAAAAAAAAAAAAAAAAAAAATTAAAACACCCAAAAACCACCACATCTAAGATCTCCACCTTAGTCGGTGCATATTCTTCATTCTCCTCCACATCTGAAGCTCCTTGTCTAGATCTGAAACTGACTCTAGAACTGGCCCAATCTCTGAAATCTTTCAAACCTTCCCCTAGATTTGACGCTCCTCCTCCAGATTTGAAAATCACCTCTGAAAAATGGCCACTAAACCCGCTTTGAATCCACTGTCTCTAAATCCAATCTTAAATTCGCTTTGAAATATCTGAATCTCGACCTGAAACCCTTTATCTTTGAAATCTACCTCTAAAAACTGCCTCTAGAAAACCACAAATGGCCAGATCTGAAGCTCTCTCTAAAGTACCCTCTCTCTCATTGTTTTCTTCTTCCTCGAGTCGTTTTTCCCCTATTGTTTGCTTATCTTGGGGTCTATTATTTTATCTCTCCTTAGTTTCCCTGGGTCTCTGATTTGATTGAAAGAGAGGGAGGGGGAGAAGAGTGAGTGAGCTATTGCATTGATCAGGTAAATGAAATCTGAGAGCGTTCTAGAGAAAGGATGACAAGAAAGAGAAATTGACGCATTAAGAAGAGATGGATTATGAGTTATTCAGTAGGAGAGAATTAATGGCGGAGGAGCAGTTAGAGAGAGTAGAGAGCGAGTGAGTAGCATTTGCTTTCCAAACATCATGAGATATTGGACACTTCTAACTCATTCTTTGATTATTATTTTTTAATTATTTGCACTTTTGTTTTAGTGTGAGAAGAGTCTACAATTTTTTGGTGGTGATAGACCACACTACCTGGGATAGTAACAATCCATCAAGTTGTGATGGACTGATATTTTTTCTCTTTATCTGTTATTAAAAAAAAGAATAGAAAAATGAAAGATCATATTTTGTTTCTATATGATCGAGTTTGTTGCTCTATTGCTTGATCCTGACTGTTCTTATATGAGAGCTACTAAATCGGTCATGGATTTGCACCAAGTTGGGTTGGATCTCTCAACTGTTATTTGCGTCTTTCAGGTGTATCGACTGTTTTTTTGTCTCTAACGAAGATTTGAAGTTTTTGTCCATTGCTGAAGTCTATTGATCTGTCGTTTCTCAAGCATGCATGTTCTCACCGTCTGTTTCTAAGGCTTAATGATCTACTGTTGCTCAAGCCTCTCTATTCCTAAGGCCCACTGATCTGCCATTGCTCATGCCTGTCCTATTCTACCTAATGGTCTATTGTAGTCTTAACATTCGGAGCTCTGATTCTAAGATCCAATTGTGCCTGTTAATCAAGAAATATGAATTTGTGCACCTGAAGATCCAACTGCTCAATTCTGAAAATTGTTGTCCAAACTTCAATTACTCTCTCTCAGAGGATCTTGAGTTTGCAGGGGAATGTTAAGGAAAGTGTATATCTCTACAAGGTTAATTATAGAAGGTGTATATTATATTAATATGTATAGGAAAGGTAGGTGCAGTATCATGTATTTCATGACAAGTCTAAGTATAATATAGGTGCCTGTGATTTATTTTATTCTTGTCATATGTATTTGTCTATATAAGACAAGCTTGTATATTTAAATTGATTAATGAACACATAGAGTTCTCTTTAGAGAAACTTGAGACTCCGACATGTACTAAAGATCAAACGAGAAAAGAATCCTCCACTATTAAAATGCTGCGCACTTATTGAAATCTCCAGAGGGGAGTACCTCCTCAATAACCTAACAACTTGCTTGACAAAAGTGCGCCCCACCCAAACCCCTCGGGGGTCTTCTCCCCCAAAAAAAAAAAAAAAGGAAGCGAGAGATAGAGAAGAAGAAGAAGAAGAATAAGAAAAGAACAAAACCCTTAAAGCGGTTTAGATAGGTCTGCGTTTAGGCCAACTAGAACAACCTTCTAGAAAACATAAAGTATGAAAACAAGATTGAGTCCATATGCCCATATCCACTATATTTTATTTGCAATAGCTTTTATTTTTTTTATTTCAACATTGGCCAGATTTTCCCATAGAAAAACTCTAGTTGACTTCCATCTTTACCTGTTTCGTCATTTACAACGCTAATCGTTCATGTATATCTTGGCTGTTTTTATTGTTTCTCATTTAATTTATCTCCATTTTGGTTTTTCTTCAATTTGCAACATTTTATAGCATGCTATATTTAAGTATGATACAAGCACAAGTAATTAGCATCGTAAATGAAAATGCAGTCATAAGATTAAAAATTAAATTATTGAACCTGAAATAATGTAATAAATGGTTGTTCACTTTTGTTGATGTCCAAAATAGAAACCCTTGAACCTGCAAAGCAATGAATAAAATCAAGTTTAGTTATAACAAAACAAAGCAGTGCAAGAAACCATGAACTCCAACAGAATAACTAACACATCCAATTCTTTTATGGACATACAAAACAAGGATACTTTTTTTTTCATGATGAGTACATAAGGTCCCTTTTTCCAGGCAAGATCATTTTTCATTCTTTAAGGAAACGACAACGTAGTTTTGTACTTCTATTATTCTTTAACTGGTGAAATACATGCGGTTTTAATTTTATTTAGGCTATGTTGGATAACAAAATTTGAAAATATTTTTAATTGACATTTTTCGATTACAATTTGAGGAAATGACATTTGTTGTATAGGGTGTTTGATTGGTTTGCCTGAATTACAATTGGGAAATGTTCAAATTGTATGGGCGGTTTGATTGTCATTTTCCAAATTACAATTCAACAATAGTCTCTCTTTCTCTCTCTCTCTCTCTCTCTCAACAAATTTTTTTATTATGCACACACATGCACATGCATATAAATACAATGATTGCATGTATAAACTCCAAGTAGCCTATACTTATCATCACTAATAAATTCGTTTTTTTCCAAATGAAAATATCATCATCGTCAAAGCCTTTTTCAACTAATTGGGGTCAACAACACGAATCCTAGTCCATCATTCTACTCTATTAAGGGCCATACTCTCAGTGAGGCTATAAGTCCCCATATATTCTCAGTACTTCCAACTATGTCTTTTTGGGCCCACCCTTACCCTTTTTGAGCCGTCCACTTGAACTAACTCACACTTTCTAACAAGTGTTGTACTAGGTCTATACCACACATGGCTAGCCTACCTAAGTCTACTCTCTCTCATCTTATCGCCTATTGGTGCTACACCTAAATTTTTCCGAATATATGCATTTCGAATTCTACCCCTTCTTGTCTTGTCACTCATCCCTCTTAACATCCTCATCTCTGCTACACTCATTCTATAGTAGGTATATTGCTTTTGACCGCCCAATATTCTGCCCCATAGAGCAAAGCTAGTCTCACAACTGTCCTATAGAACTTACCCTTCAGCTTCATTGGTATGCGGCGATCACATAAAATTCCTTTTGAAGATATCCACTTAGCACACCGACTCTATTTCTATGAGTGACATCTTCCCCAACCTCTCTATTTTCTTGAACTATCGACCCAAGGTACCAAAAGTGTGCTCGTTTTTTGGTATTTCATGGTCGTCAATCTTAACTACTTGCTTGTCTTTACTCCTATTATTACTGAACTTGCATTCCATATACTCTGTCATAGTGGGGCTAATTTTAAAACCTTTAAATTGCATCCCTCCAAAGTTCTAACTCTGCGTTGATGTTGTTTCCGATCTCATCGATCAAAACTATGTCATTTGCGAAAAATATGCACCACAATACCTCATCTTGTAGGTGCCTAGTTTAGTCGTCCATAACTAAGACAAAGAGGTATGGGCTCAATGCTGACCACTGATGTAGACCTATTGTTATTGAAAACTCACTTGTTTTTCGACTAATTGTCAATATACTAGTTAGTTGTCTATCATACATATCTCTCACCAAACTGATGTAGTGTCTAAAGACTCATTTCTTTTCCAACACCCACCGGCTTTCTCTAGATTAATAAAGACCTTGTGGAGCTTTTTTCCCTTTGCCCTAAACTTTTCAATCAGTTGCCTAAGTAGGAAAATAACCTCGGTTGTTGACCTCCTTAGCATAAAACCGAATTGGTTTTCTGATACACTTGTTTCATGCCTTAGTTGTTGCTCAATGACTCTCTCTCAAAGTTTCATAGTGTGGCTTATAAGTTTGATCCCTCGATACTTCGCACAATTTTATGTTTCCTTTGTTCTTGTAAATAGGCAGTACAATTTTTTTTTTTATTCATCTGCCATTTTCTTTGTCCTAACACCTTGTTGAACAACTTGGTCAGCCAATCTCACCCATGTACTTCCAACTTCTTTCAGGATACCATGAGGTCCTACAGCCTTTTTATCTTCATCCTTTTCAAAACTTCTTTCACTTCTGATATCCTAATCCTACGAATGTATCTATGACCTTCGTCTTCATTTATGCCAAGAGTTCCTTCTATCGCTATGTTCCCATTGTGCTCGTCATTTAATAATTTTTAAAAATAAATTCCCCACCTTTCATTGATCTCTTCATCCTTCACCATGACCAATCGATCCTCACTCTTATGCATTTAATATAGTCGATATTCTTATACTTTGTTTTCTCATAGTTGCTAATTTGAAGACATCTTTTTCACCTTTTCTTGTTCTCAGTTTACTGTATAGATTATCATATGCCTTAAGTTTAGCCTTACTTACTATTTGTTTAGTGTTGTTTTAGCATTTTTATAGTCTTCTAAGTTTTGATCATTTCTATTAGACTGTCAAATTATTATAACATGATCGTTTTTCGTTAATGGCCTTTTGATCATTTCCAAATGAAAATATAAGATGGATAAAAGGACCTACTTTAGAGGGGTCCATTTAAATTGGGACTAGATTACTTTCTATGGATATTATGATGGGAGGACAAAGAGAGGGGAGGGTATCAGAAGAGAACCATAAAAGCCAACCTTATTACCCTCTTCTTTGGTTTTCTGTCTCGTTTTCCTTCCTCTTTCCCTCTTCTACTTTTCCCCTTCTTTGCATTCTCTCTTGTAAGAGGGATTGAAAGAGATGGTGGTGCTAATTAAGTGAGAGACACGGATGATAGAGAGGCGTGAGAAGGTTAGAGAAAGAGAGGGTATGCGAGCATGAGAGAAAGGTCAGGAAATATGATTAGAGGGCCACGGGAAAGGAAGGAGCACGAGAGATGAGGAGGGAAGAACAAGGAGGTAGTAACGGAAGAAAAAGAAACCCATTCTCGTGTTTTGCAATTCAAATTTTTTCAAATCAAGCAAACTTCATTCATTTTGGATGGAAAATCAACTTTATTTGTTGGGTAGTGATATCTGACAAAAAAGACAAGGCTGTTGGAAATCAAAAGGAAAAGGGCCAAAATTAAGATGTGAATTTTGCAAACAAGCCCAACTTACAATTTAGAAACGAAATCAAACGGACCCTTACGAATGGAATCAATGACACAACTGTGGAAATTTTAATTTAAAAAATGCCGTGGTGGAATTAGGGCAAATGCATAGAATGTAAAATGAACCAAAAGTAAAAGAAAATTGTGAAGTTAAAAAATAATATTTTCTTTTCGATAAGTAACCATGTCATTGATGAGGGAATTGCACATATAGTTACCCTAAAACAAGTTCATAAAATTGGAAGCCTGTACATTAAGAAGAGAAAGGTTGAGAGGCAAGAATGGTGAAGAATGATTAGGTTGAGAAGAAACAAGCACAGAGTGTAAAGGGGGCTATATCTCTGTAATATATGAAGATGTAAGGGTTGCTCCCGCCTGGTGAAGTTATCGATGATTTTACTCACCTCCTGGTGTAAATGCTGGAGGAAGCAACCAATTGTGCTTCACAACCACAATCTCCTCAATGAGATCTAAGGGATCCAAGATTGTTGTGAGTTTCAAGGTACACTTGCAGTTAAGTGAATTTCCCAAACCATTCTCCAAGCTATAACCACATTCCTAGTGCTCTTGCATATAATCATGCAGTATGACTCCCAGGAAGATCCTACTATAATAGCCCTTCCCATAAACTCCAAGGGGTAGCTGGTAGGCAGAGCTTATACCCCATTCCAACAAGAATGAGATCAGCAATTAACTTAGACAAAAAGCCAATGGAAAGAGAGTTTAGACTTTGGCGGGCACATCTTTCTAGCCAAGGTGATTTCGATACATGATATAATGTTTTTTGCAAACATTTTGCTCCTACTAGAGGCCTCACATAAGGAGCTGAGCATCAGCATTTTGGGTGTGTAAGGTCCAAACCTGTAGCTTAGTAGAATGGGGCTCTTCGTCTTCAAACATTGGTAGCTAATACAACTTCCATGCTTATCACCTATGGTTCATCCTCATCCTATAAGCATGGCGATCTAATTCAATGAAGAATTTACAGAACGACATCAAAGAACCGAACATTTGATTGAAAGTAACAGTGGAAGCTCACAAGCCAATGGTTTAACCAGAACTCTCAAAACAAATAATTTTCAAGTCTTCGAGAAAAAAAAAAAAAGAAAAAACTTGATACAACCCATATTTATAATAAAAGAACTTCATTAGACCCCAAGAGATCCCAATTCTAATTGAAACAGAAGATTAATTAAAACAAACTTGTAATGAAGTCCTCACCCTTGATAACATAAATAATTCCAGAAGGACATTAACAAAATTTTCAAACATCCCCTAAAATCCTAAAAATAAAAATAAAAAAACTCATAAAAAACTTCAAAATTCTTAAAATCGCTAAGATTTAATAGGAAAGTAAAAAATAGGGGGAATCTTGTCCTGCATCAGGATCTTTATCTCACTAGGTAGTGGATTTGTTCCCAGGCTTACCTATCTTTATAGTATGTATGTATAAACTCCTGGACAAATTTACATACCATTGAGTTGAATCCTCTGTATTTGCAATCGGTCCACATACAAGATGAGGAAAATTGACATTGGAAACATGTGTTGAGAAGGGCCAAATTGTGGTTGCTTTGTGGGTTAAAAAAAATTTTAGTCCCACATCCAAATATTTAGAAAGGTAAGGTGCGGGAGTTCGCTATAAAATGAAGGGTAGCTTTTTAAAGAGTTCGCGGGTCCAAGTACCTACTAGGTTGGGTATACTCATACCTGTACCCGAAAATGTTCAGGTATGCAATTTTGGATTCGGACCCTACTTGCGGGTCCAAAATTTGGACCCAAGAATAAGATGAGGTACACTCACTAGCAAACCTCATCTTGTACATCCAATGGCTCAAATTGAATTTGGATGATTAAGATGGCCATGATGTATTCGTCTTTTTATTTCTATGTTCATTTAAAATGTTGTTGAATTGAAATTTGGGGTATCCACATGTCAAAATAAGGCACATCCAATAAAAATAAAAATATAATAATAATTAGAAAAAGTCACCAACATACCCCTGTATGTTTTAGGAGTATTTTTCCCATTTTTTTATTTAAATTACTTTTTTATTTTTGCTTGAAGAGTTTAATTTTATAGAAAAAATGAAAATAAAGAACGAAATCGATTTGTGTCTATCCATTTGGCCAAGATCATTTCAGCTCATGGACGTGCAATAGTGAGACTCTATACGTGTATGTGTGTCTGTGTCATAGTTGTTGGAGGTAGAAGCGGGATATCCTCGTTTCTCTAAATCCAGCTCCCTCTAAGATCCCTTAGAGGAACCGCAGGATTGAGTTCCTAAGGAGGGACAATGGCCTCAGCCCACAGTTCTTGCAACTATGGTTTGTGTATGTGTGTGTCCAAAACGAGTCGGATGCTAATTTGGAAATATCCATATTTTTTATTTGATATTGAAGATTTACCTTTAATACCCTCTTCTTCTTTTCTTAAGTTCTCAAATCTGAATTGCATCATTTTGTTCCCCAAATTGGTAGGACACTATGTATCCCAGGATTTGATATTTTTAATAATGCCAAATACCCCCATACACCACGCATACACATGCCGACTCTATATCTAGGAAATGTTAATCGTGTTATCATATTGACATGAGAAATAGGACTTATTTGGGTGTATCCAGGTAGCGCAATTCTAAAGTCCCTAGATATCAGTTCAACAAGAGGATCCATCCAAAGCTGCTATGCTATTCCCTTTTGATCGATTTCGAGAAAAAAAAAAAAAAAAAATTTCTCCCCATTATAATGTCTATTGTCCTGCCTTGGTATCAAAGCAGGCTCCTAGTGCTGCTACACAAGGAAACAAATGATGACAGCAAGAGAATATGGAGGCCGAGGCCGAGGCCAATAACAGATAGACCAACCACTGAGGAATTCAATCAATTTGCTGGAATTGTTAAAGAATCGACACATGAACTGTGGAAGGCAGTTCAGTGAATCTCTTGTATCAGAGGAGGAAACATATCCTTCCATAACTAAGGGAAGGTAGGATGAAACCAACCTTCTGAAGAGCAACTTATAAAGAGTCCTAGAAAGGGCAACCATGAGTATTAATGTTAACGTTCCAGACCTACATTTGACAAAACGATTAGAGTTTCAAGCAGTGTACTAAGGAGTTCTAATTGTTGATGAGAAGGAGCAACTTCAAGGGGAAAAAAAAAAGAAGCGAGCAACTTCAAGGAGTCTGGTGATCAGTTGCGTTTCAAAACATCTGAGGGGAAGAAACAAGAAAATCAAGAAGTTAATTATGCACAGTTTTGAACATTTGGAAGATGCACTAGATGGTGCAAAAGGTAAAAATGAAGCTTAAAAGCACTTCTAATTGTTTTATGAGTGGGGGTCTTTTTTGACTCGAAGGACTCTCAAGAGTTGAGGAGTCAGTTGGGCATCATTCACGTGCATTTGCCGTAATGAGATAGGTCACCGTTCCGATGATTGCCAGTAATGATGACATCGTGGCAAGGCCTATCTCCTAGATCACCTTGAGGAGTATGACATGAAGAGGATATTGAGGGCAATCCATGTCAAAAAGAAGAGAGTTTATCATGCCTCTCTGTATTTCATGAGCCCTTCCCATGATATTGAGGAGACCACTGATCGGTTTATCCGGAAATATGGAGTAGCACAAAGTGTTTGGCTGGCATACTACAAATGGCTCTATGTAACCTAATCTAGGACAAGTAACAAGGTTTATAGCTAGTATATTCGTGAAGAGGTAATTGTTACCACTTTCACTATTTGGAAACTGTGCAAGGCACACAATGCTACCTAGGAGATGGGTCAGTCATCCTACAATTCTAAAGATGATGCAAACAAGGTTTTCCTGAAAGGAAATATCCTCTCTTTTTCCAATAAGTGTGCTTTTAAAAATCTCCAATCTTAACTTTACAAAAAGATAATAAAATGAATAAAATTTTGATGAAAGTTCATTCTTGCTAAACAAATCTTTAGATGATTAAGTCTTTGCAAGATGCACCAAATCAAGGTGATTAATGGTATGACCTAAAAAGAACTTGAAGGGAATGGCATGAAACCCAGAGAAATAGAGCCAACAATTAAAACTCTGCAATTTGAGGTATTATTCTTCTCCCTACCTTGACAGTTATTTATTACCCTAAACAGTTAAATATTCTATTCCAAATGTATATTTTACAAAAAAATTCATCAACCATCCCACTAAATGACCCTCTAGACCCAGTCTATCACACACCAATGAGTAGTGAACATGCAGTGAAATCATTCAGATCATGATTATTTGTAGATGATTGCTGCATCACATATCATCCATACAATTTTAAGAAGTATGAATCCTTTTGAAACTTTCTAGTATGTGTGTAATTCAAGAAAAGAAGTACCATTTGCTAAGCACAAAAACAATTGTTTGGAATCAAAATAGTTATGTGAAAGAAATAAAACCATGAATTAATTTACAAATACCAAGAAAATAAGAGAACTTTACTATGGGATCACCTTTAAACCACATGCAAACACCCTAACAATAGTAAGTATACTCGCCCTGGTCATGTATTGTACTTAAATAAGCAGGCAAATTAATTTTCCCCCTAAGAAAGTTCCTTTACTTGCTCCGTCAATTGAAAAGAGGTCGTGCCTAATCATGATGCATCACAAGCAACCTAACTCCATTAGAAAGTCACAGTCACAATTTCCTAAGAATGGTTTTAAGGAAAATAAGTATTAATCTGATCTCCCAAACACTCCATTCCAAACACTACCTTGCTTAACTGAAACAACACACAGAAATTTTGTGGGTTCGGTACTTTCAATCAAAATTCGATAAGGAGCAAAAATTTGAATTTTGGGTCGTACATTATACACAAATTACAAAAATGTGGCATATAGTTCATCTCCAATCCAAAGGCCTGCATTTCATAAGTCTGCAGAAATCCAACAGTTTCTTAAAATTTGTGAAATAAACTTCCCCAATTTTAATATATTTCAACCAGATTTAAAGTCAATACAAACCAAGCCCCTATATGCTCTTCCCCTCAATTTCATCAACTCCCACAAGCCAAATAAAAATCCATCACATCTCAATTTTCTACCACTAACCTTTGAAGAAAATCAAAACCAAAAGAAGTAGCTAATTTCATACCAAAAAAGAAAACAACCTTTCCTGAGCACCCAACTTTCTCAGACAAAAGAAACGCGAGATGTCCACTTCCACAGCACAAATCGAGCACAGAATCGCCAGCCTTCGCCCTGTAACCAACAAAAAGATCAAAATTGTAACCTTAATTTAGCTAGCCTAAAATCAAACATTATCATCATTATTAGACCCTTTTACCATTTCAGGGATTGGCCATTATACTCCATACCTTCACTGTAAGTCCCCACATCTTTCTCGCTAATTCCGCGGCACATATAGAAAGAATAAAAATAAAAATAAAAATAAAAATAAAAGTAAAAGTAAAAGTAAAAGTAAGTATATAATGGACCATTTATCACGATTAATATTGATGGATGTGAAATTTGGTGAGCTCAAACTTCAAAAAAAAATAAATTTCGATTTTTTATTACACACACAAGCTTTCGAATTTCATATCGTAACTATTTGTCTCATTCCTATATTGTCGTTATATACGATCCCCTATCCCCTAAATATTGTCGTTATATACGATCCCCTAAAAAAACAGATACTTCTTTGTACATATACCAGCTCCACGAGACTGTCATCCTCCTCCATACTTGGATTTGCCCTAGACTGATCAAGTCGTTCAACTGTTAACACCAATGACACCGTCTTTATCGAACTAGAAATCAAAGTTATCGACAATCTCCCTCTACAAATCAAAGTTATTGGCAATCTCTCCCCCAAAGAATAGAAAGAATCCAAACACTATGTTGCGCACATTATCATATAGTGGAGCAATTCGATTCAAGAGCTGTTGTCTCTGTGATGGAGTCGAGTATTGGCAGGAAACAGGTCTTAATTTAGAGAGAACGGGAGTATGAGCGCTGGAAATGGGTGGAGCAAGGTGAAGAAAGGCCATGAACAAGCAACTTGTTGGCCCAGTTCGATGCCCAGTCATTATCTATAGTTGGTTTTACGCACAAACAAGCAATCCTTAGAGAATCACAAATCAAGCACAAAAATATCTAATTTTTTTAATTGGTACTAGTAAAATAGGTTTTCTTTTCTTTATTCTTTTCTAAAATTTTACACTCAGAGGAGAAGACTCGGCATTTTGACCACCGTTTTAGAATAGGGAAAGGTTTCTATATTTCCCCTACAGCATAGATCTTCCATGCTTCCCCCAGCCGTCCAATTTTGATCAAGTGAGCACTCACCGTTTGATATTAGATCTGACGTTTCAAAGTATTTTAATTTAAATTTTTTTATGCAAATTGTATGAGTATAAAATTTGGTAGGCATCATCTTCTCATTGTGGTGCACCTATAAAAAATATTAAAAATAATTTTCAACAATATATAATGACCAAAATACCCCTTGAATTTTTTGGGGGTATTTTGGTCATTTTATTTTATTGAGAATATTTTTATTATATATTTTACAATTGCAAGTTTAATAGAGGATTGGACACCCAAAATCTGGTGTCAAAATATTTTATATAAAAAATTTAAAAATAAAAAAGTGTAGAGGTTCGACATTGTGATTGGGGCAATCTTAACCCTCTATTCAGAATGGACGGTTGAATAAAAGGGAAGTATATAAGCTTTATATTGTAAGGGAAGCATAGAAAGTTTTCCTTTTAAAATAATCAAGATTCTTTCAGTTGTACAGTGATGAATGGTTTTCCTTTTAGAATAATCAAGATTCTCTCAGTTGTACAGTGATGAATGGTGTGCATGCTAGCACACCACCCACTCAAACACAAACACAAATTAAGACAATTTTATTGCTACTGCTAAAAGGACGACAACCAAATGGACCTCAGACAAGTCTGACTCCAAAAACTATCGCCCATGAATATAGGAGCCGATCATATAAGGCCATAATTCACTTTGTTAGAGATGGTTATACGCTAAATCACCATCCCACATAAATAGAGATTTAACAAGGCTCTCGGTTATATATCTTGATTTTTAAGATATATGTGATATCTATGATAAGTTTCCCATTTGGAGTGGATTCCTAGTGTTATGTATAAAGATGGAGAGAAGAAAGAATATATGCGCCCTATTTGGGGTCGCTAGATGGGAAATGTTGCTTCCTCTAAAGAGAGGCAATAACCTCTTGTACTAAGAGGCAAGGTTTTTATATAGATAAAAGTGACCTTTCTATGAAGCGAAGCATTGCGGTGGTGAGAGGTTGCTTTTTGTAAAGAAACAATCCTTTTAGCTGGTATACCCTTTTAGTGATAGAAAGTCTTGACTGCTCTCAACGTTCTTTTTTTAAACGGTGGTTTAACTGTAGAATGGAGATGGAAGATTGGTAGTTGATGTTGGTCGGCAAAGCTGGTCTAAAAGAGTTGTTCGACTAGGTTTTGTCGAGAGATAGAGAGATAACTCCATGTTGATGTAACTCTCATCACTAGAATGGATTTAATTTCACTCCCCTAGATGTAGCACTTTTTGGAGTGAACCATGTAAATATTTTTACTATTAGATGTAAATATTTTTACTCTTGGATATGTATTTTTTATACTTTATTTATCATATTAAGATTAGACTCGGCTAGTGTTTTTTAGTTGGACTAGTACGTGATCCTAGTGGGATCCAACTTTTAGGGTTCCCATTTTTGCATATAAGAGGGTTATTGAATCCTATTACACTTTTGGAGGAAGAAAAAAAAAACGTTGTACTTAATTTTGGTCCTTTCATATGGGATTCATGTTTATTTTTAAGAACAAAAAAAAGCTTGTTATGAAGGAGGTACGCAAGGAACGCCGATCCCCAAGCCACCTGGCGAAGATAATGTAAGTCTTGCACCTACCGGATGTAGTTCTATTGCATCCAACCATTCATCAGATCTGCAAACAAATAGAGAGCCGAATAGGTACACCAGAAAAGTACAAAGGATCGAACTCTGCCAAGGGACCAGAGGGCCATCCTCCGGTGGTACAAATAAAGAACTAAAAATGCTCGAGTCTCCCTTTGATAGATTTAGAGAAGATGCCGAGCTCAAGAACAATCTAGAGAGAGAAACAATATCCCTACATAAATATATAATGACAATAAAAGACAACTGAAACTTATACATTTTATTTTTGTATACATATTATTACCCCTCTTCAAGCTGATGCGGACGTGAGTAAAGCATTAGTTTGTCTACTAGAAAATCATGGCGACTCCAAGCAACAGATTTGGTGAAAATATCAGCCGTTTGTGCATTAAAAGAAATAAAAGGGAGAGATATGTATCATCAAGATAACGATCACGAATATAATGACAATCTACGTTAATATATTTTGTTCTCACATGAAAAACGGGATTAGATGCAATCTTAATCGCACTTTGGTTATCTGCATATAAAGGTGTGGGATTTGAAATAGAGATACGAAACTCATTGTGAAGAGCATGAACCCAAACAATCTTAGTAGCAACGGAAGACATAGCGCGATACTCAACTTCAGTGCTTGACTTAGAAACAATTTCATGTTTCTTGTTCTTCCATGATATTAATGATGACCCAAGAAACACACAATATCTTGTAGTAGATAGACAAGTGTCTAGATCGCCTGCCCAATTCACATCTGCATATGGACTGAGATCTAAAGAGGATGTGGAGTCAAAGATCCAATCATCCCTTCTCTGTTGCGGCTCACAGATTCCTTTTTTTATGAAGGTCAATAATCAGATAAATTTTATTTTCTCTATAGACACCTTAATCTCCATCTTCCGTTTTTATATGAAAATTTTATTGATCTCTCCAATTTTCATATGCAAAATTTTCGTTACAAATTTGCAACTCTTTCGATACAAATTTGTGTTGCAAATCTGCATATTTGAAACCCTTCTGCGTATCAGTTGCATAAGCCTTTCACTGCTAATTTGCAACCCTCTCATTGCAAACTTTGTTTCATTGGAAACTTTGTTGCATATGTTGCATATGATCTACAATTATTTGCAACCCTTTCATTGCAAACTTTATTTCATAATTTGCAACCCTCTCATTGCAAACTTTGTTTCATAATTTGTTTCCCTCTCATTGCAAACTTTGTTTCATAATTTGCAACCCTTTCATTGCAAACTTTGTTTCATAATTGAACCCTCTCATTGCAAACTTTGTTTCATAATTGCAACCCTCTCATTGCAAACCGTGTCTCATTAGAAACTTTGTTGCATATGTTGCATATGACCTACACTTATATGCAACCCTCTCATTGCAAACTTTCGCTCATAATTTGCAACCCTCTCATTGCAAACTTTGTTTCATTGGAAACTTTGTTGCATATGTTTCATAAAACTTTGTTGTATATGTTGCATATGACCTACAATTATGTTGTATATGTTTCATTGGAAACTTTGTTGCATATGAGCTCAAAATTGGGAGCAACCTCACGTATCAATCTAGTGCCAAAGCCATGTGGGATTATTTACAGAATATATATTCTCAAGCAAACACTGCTCGTCTGTATACTCATGAATAGGAGAGCATGAAGACACAACAAGGGGACTCATTAATTCAAGATTATTTTAATACTCTTTTAGCCATATGGAATGAGATGGACTCGATGGAGACAGAGCTACCCACTGAAGTTATTACTAAAGCACAGAATTGGTCTCGTTTATTTCACTTTCTTATGGGGTTGTGATTGAAGTTTGAAAGCATGAGAACATTAATCCTTCATCATACTCCCACTCTACCATTAGATGATTGCCTCTCAGATCTCCTTGTTGAAGAACATCGCTCTAATACCATGATAGATTTAGAGAAGATGCAGAGCTTAAGAACAGTCTAGAGAGAGAAACAATATTGACAAATTCTCAATAATAAGGAATGAAACCCTAAAAAAGTTTATATACAAATACAAATTTTGTGCAGACCACATTATCCTTACCCAAATATACAATGACAATAAAGGATAACTGAAAATTATACATTTTATTTTTGTATACATATTATTACCCTCGTCCTCACCCTGAGCTAGAACCACAGGCTATGCCGCCTCCGCACAAGCCCTCCTACAGGTCTTGGTCCCACCAATCACCAAGAATAGTGCCAGCCTGTCGAGATTGTCAATAGGCACCACAGGCTCCTTGATCCTAATGTTGTCGTTGGCTCTCCTGGTGTTGCCTCTTGCGATCGCCCAGAAGTTATGGACCTAGCTCCTCTCTTTGTCCTCCTGGCAAACATCTCTCTAAT